AGCGCGTTTAGAAACAGGAGGCAGAAGCCACGTGTAGAGACCTCTGCAGCGTGACTAGGCTGAATCGCTGAAGACATGGGAAGCTCAGGGAAGACCAATGCTCAGAACTGACCCGGGCTGGAGGAGGCAAAGGTGACCTGACACGCAAAGTAGCCGACTAGGGGCCGGATTCTGCGTTAAGAAAAGGAAGTCATGGAAACATTACCGGGACAACTGTTGAAATTTCAGTATGAACAGCATGATTCCTACTGTGTCAGTGTGTCCTCTCCTCAGTTTGACCAATGTGTGATAGTAAGAGTACTAGGGAATATGAAGGAAAGTAGTTCTCGATAAAGGGCTATGATGTGTGCAAAATACTCTCATATGCTTTGGAAAAAGGTGTGTGGACAGAGAGCGACTGCGGCTGTCAGCAGTGTGAGGGTGGGAGGGGGACAGGAGAAACGGAGCCTGAAGGGAAGTGTGGGGAGTGGGCATGGCAACCAAGAAGCTGGTAGAAAGGGTGAGGGAGACCAGAGAGGGGCAGGGATAAGGGCAAACACAGGTGCTGCCTGGGCAGCTGGGTCTGACTGTGGGGACACTAATGCCTGTCTGAGGAAGAAGACACATGGGCCTTCCCTGGTGGCCCAATGGGTTAAAGCACAACATTGGGAAGCTGTCCCCAGCTACCACAGCATGAGTTCGATCCCTGGACAGGGAGTGGCCCCATGGCCTGGCAGACCACTCCTGACCTGCCCGCTGCTCCCCTCAGCAGTGTATTTCAGTTAATCTGCCTGTTCTGCTCCCCACTCTGTCTCTGGTGAAGCCTCTCACCCCCTGCATTTCTGGCCTGTACCCCAGTTCTTGCATGCATAAATAAATAAATCTTTAAAAAAAACAAGAAGACACACAATTCACAGTAGGAGTGATGGAGCCTGGGACTGTACCTCACCTTCCTTGGGGTTCTCTCCCTGTCACTTTCTTTTCTCTCACTTAAGTTACTGGAGGAGCAAGGACCCTGCAGCTCAACTAGGAGTTGATTCACTGTGTTATGGCTGAGGCTTCCCATCAGCAGCAGGCCAGACAAACCTCAGAGTTAAGGTTTTGGGGAGTCCACCCTGGAATTTTCCCTGTGCAGGGCTGGTGTTCCGAATCCCCCACATTGCTCTGGGTGGGCGCTCGTTACTTCTGAGTCTGAATGGCTCCAGGGGAAAACAAGCATGGCATCTGATCGGAGGCATCATTAGACAAGGGTCTGGCTCGAAAGCAACAAGTTAGGGGAAGCAGGAGGCACCTCCAGCCCCCACGGGGGGGAGGGGGCCAGAGTGCAAGAAGATGACAGGCTTTTGAGATAAAAATGAAAGAGACAGGTGAAACCGGGCAAACCACAGTAAGCTCTAAGATTTAGAATATAGCTCTTATTCAGACAAAGAAATCAAGCAGGCCAAGAATAACATGAGTGATTTTGCATCATAACAATTTAGTTACTGAAAGTAGACATCGCAGGAGATGTCTTTGCAGGCACCACCGCTGCGGGCACCTGTGTGTCCCGCTGAGCATCGCTGCTTAAGGCACAGAGGAGTCCCACTCAACAGTCCTTCCAGCAAATCCACTTAACATTTGCCATCTCCCTCTCCCATCCGTGTGTTACCTCTACCGTGGTGAAGGAGAGACTGAGATTCGAAGTTTTAGCGAACACCATGAAGATGCTCATGGAAGATTCTGAATCGAAGCCGAACAGAGAGATTACAATAACCAAAGACAGACGAAACGTTTTGAAGTCAAAATAACCACTTTAAAATCGAGGAACATTAAAAATATCCAAAGTACCGTTGCAGTTGTTGAGCACAGCCAACAAACCTTCAAAAACTCATGTTCTCACCAAAAAAAAGGGGCTCACGGTCTCCATGTTTTCATGCCAAGTTCCAACCTGGAGGGATATTTTATGAATCAATTTATAAGGAAAGTAAAGCATTCTAAAGGAAACAGGATCAGCCTGTCTCTCTTCAGGAGCTTTGGAGACTGGAAACGCTAGAAATGTGACCTCAGCAGGCGCCAAGAGAAGGCAGTGGCTCTTCCCGGTGGCATGCACCGTATCACTCCCTCTACCCACCAACCCTGCCCGGATAAAGAATCCTGGAGAACATGGCAGCTTACCTGGACTTGGTTTTCAGGTAAACGGAATGTTTTGTGAATACCTGCATGAACCAGCGGGCTGCTCCCAGTCATGCCCAAGGTCAGAGCAACATAAAAGCAACACGAAGGCATAGTGACACCATAAAGAGCATGTTCCCATGGGAAATCTCGGGTTAATCTGGTTAACCCTTCCAGGAAACCTAACGGATGCATTTTGCTGGGAACCCCCAATAAGGTCGCTTCCCCAGTTCCCAAGCTCCCGACATTTGAAAGTTAATTCCAATGAGATAGTGCAGAACTGAGTGTGTTACTTCCCCGTCTTTTAGAAGACCCTTGTCATGCCCAACACAACAGGAAAGTTTACTGAGCATTTCACAGGAGGCAGGAACAACCAGGAGTGAAGCACACTGTCCTGCAGCTACCCGGAGCATGGTCTAAGCCAGCACCACCTTGACTAGACCCCCCTCCCGCACAGCAGAGAAGTGAAATTTGGGGGGAAGGAAAGGGGAGACTATTTTTCAAACAATTTCAGAAATGTTTCTCTGCAACCTGGCCTAGCTGCTCTTTTAGCCTGGTTTCCATCATTTCCACTCCACCCTGGGGAGGATAAAATCATTTTATTTCTATCATTAAAGGTTGAACAGTCTGTAGAAACCTCAAAACTAGCCTCAGGGACAAAAATGCAAAGGCAAGCACGATTTATCACGTCGTCAGCAGTTCTGGATATCATGGCCCGAGAGGATGGCAGCTGGTAATTAGACCGACATTCCTCAGTGCCACGCACAGGTCTGCTGGGCTTCTGATCACTGCCTAGCAGCCTGCGAGCGCTGGCCAGGGCAAAGGGAGGGGCGAGAACAAAACTTACTCATCCAGGGCTTTCTTGTGTGGCCTGGTTTGGTGGGTCTCACCTGAGAAAACCCACTCCGATGGCTCACAGGGCTGTTGCTCAGGATGCAGTTCTCAGTGCAGCGGCCCTCAGGGCCAGCTAAACCTACCAACCAGCTAAACCTCCGAGGCAGCTGGGGGTGGGGGAGGGGGTTCACAGCAGAAGCCCAGGCTGTGCGGAGACCAGTCAGGTGAGCCCTGGAGAGGCACTGCCGTGGGGAGCCTGCCGTGAGAACCACTGCTTGAGAGGAACCTGCCCGCCTCAGGACCAATGCATGGCAATCGGCTGCAGGAAACACAGGATGGAGAGCGACTGACCGTCTTCACGGCTAACTCTTGACTAGCACAGGTTCAGCATAGGTCCACTAACACCCTTGAAGCATAAATGATACAAACAGAATGGTATCGGTCAGGACAGCCCATGTTGGACATATATTTTCTCTTCTTTGTGATTTTCTTCATAATAGTTTGTTTTTTTGGAAGAAGTCAATAGGTAATACCGACAAACTATGCGTTCATTGACTACTGATGTTACCATAGGGCTTCTAGTTAACAGCAGGCTAGCTCTTGTAAAATTTTGGGAGACTACTAGAGTCCTATGTGATTCTTCAATGGAGAGGTAGACAGGAGATGTCTAACTGGTACATGGATCATTCAGGTTTAACTGTTCTTCGAAAAAGATAAAGAAAAAATGGTCCAGTGAGAATGACCTGGAGAGGACCAGAATAACTGACATCAGTCCTAGACACACAACCAACCTCACACTTGCCTAGACTCCGGCCTCCTCGTCAGTAGCAGTACTGTGCCGAGGTCTACCTTCCCTGTTTATGCGGAAGAAACAGGCGAAGTGCTGCTGCCTGCTGCCATTCTCTCTCCAGGAGCGCTCAGAGCTCTCCTGGTATTCCAGAGTCGGCCTGGACCCACACAAGGCCCCTCCAACACCTCTCTGCTGCTAAAAGGGTTGGGGGGAGGGGCACCTGGGGAGTCGTGCACGCAGCCCCTGCACTGAGTTGCAGGGCTCAGGGGGACACAACGAAGCTACCAGGTGGAGAGCCACACAATCAGTTTATTCCCAAGGTCTGAAAGTGGAACCAAGACACACTATATTTTTACGCAAAGACAAGTCTTTAAACTACAAAAGCGCAGCTCTCAAAGACCAGCGGTCGGGGCCCAGCTGCTCCAGAGGGGAAAGGTCCCCTGGATGCTGGCAGAGAGCACTCGAAGGCAGGCACACAGCCGTCGACGCCTGACAGATCACGCACGGGTGGCTCAGGTAAGGGGCACAGAACCTGACGGCCGCGGGTTTTTCACGTCAAGAGGCTGTTGGAGCCTCTGTTGAAAACCAGACACCAGGTCCCCACAGAGCAGGCAGACGAGCTGCTGTGGACATGGCCTGGTGTCTCCTGCCACGTGGTGCTCACGTGGGTGAGGCTACTGGCCCTTCAGATTCAGGAGGCTGGGGGCTGGTACCAGCACGCAGTTCTCGCAGGGGTCCGCCTGACTGCTGGCTCACAGGCCAGTTGGAGAACCAGCGCTTCACAGCCCACCAGCAGCTCTCCAAAGCGCAGTTGGAAGGAGGCCACTGTTAGCAAAGCAGGCTCAGGCTGGAAAGCCAAGCAAGGAATTCTCATCTTAGGGGTTTGACAAATAGGCCACCGGGATTTTTTGGGCCTCACCTCGCTCCTGATCACATCACTTGACTGTACATTGATGTGAAAAACAAAATCCCAGCCAACGCTGAACTTTGAGGACCAGCTTTCACCCTCATCATTTTGCTTAAAGTTGCCGTTTCCAAGAACCTATGAATGGCATCAAGTGAAGACTTACTGCACACAGGCAGGAAAAGGAAGTGGCTTAGAGACAGCAAAATCCAACTTCTAGAATACAGGGAGAGGTAAGTTCCTGTTCGCATGACTTCAGTGCATTTAGGGGACTCGCCACTGTGTGTGGCTCAGGCAGGTGGGAGGGACCCGGGAGGGGGTCGGGCCGTCTCTCAGACTCACCTGTCAGAACCTCGCAGGGCTGCCCGGGTGTCTGGGCCTCGGCGGCCGTGGCCGTGGGGCTGGGTGCCAAGGACCATTTGCGCCTGATGAGATGCTCTCGCCCACCGAGCGGGCTCCCCGAGTTGTTGAGGGGCTGGATGAGCACCTGCTCCTGCCCTAGCTGGATGAGGCCAACCTGCCCGGGAAGAGGAGAAAGCAAAGTGGGTCACACATGTCCACAGCCCCAGAGCGATGCCGCTCACCATGGCCTGGTCCCCACAGCCTGTCTTTCCCTTGGCAGGTGGCTCCCACTTCCTGAGCCCAAGAACAAACTTCTGAATGACTTGAAACATCCCATCAGCCATCGGGGGTGGGGGAGGGCGGCGGTGCCGAGCTAAGTGTAACAGCAGCCACACACTAGTTCACTTTCTAAGATGTGTTACTCTTTATTAATACAATCTTTTAAAATCTCCCCCCCCCAAAGTCCGCTTTAGGAGGCAACCCCAAAACACTAAAGAACAAATGATGTCCTTAATGGGAAATGTACCTTCCCCCTGATCTTAACAACTGCAGAGGTGGGGTTGGCCAGAACTGCAGCATTATTAGTGTTAGCAGAGGGCTGGTTTGTTTTTTCAGAGTTTGTGATGTTTGAGAAAACATGGCAGAATGTTCAATGGATTTGATTTGTGATTCTCATTTAAAGTGCAACATTCTTATTAGTTTTACAAATAGTATCAGAAAGCATAAGAGAACTTAATATTTCCCAGGTTTATAAAAATTAGGTTTATCAGAATCACTTAAGTATTTGTAACAACCAAAAGAAACAGAAATGAAATGGATATGCTCGATTTCCAACTGCACTTTTAAAAGCTGAAAAGTAGCTAATCACATTTGTAAATGGGGCCAAATAGTAGCCAAAATTCCCTTAAGAGGGGACGTAAACTCTTGCTAGCTATGGGTAGAACTTAACTGGTAACTGAATAAAAAATTATGAACTGGGATTTTTAATTTGGCACTTTCACAGGGTAGATATTAATTGGAAGCAAATATATATATGGGCCCTCCCTGGTGGCGCAGCGGGTTAAAGCACAGCACTGGGAAGCTAAAGCCACTTCAGCTTGAGTTTGGTCCCTGCCCCGGAGGTGACCACATGGCACAGCAGACCTCTCCTGACCCGCCCGCTGCTCCCCTCAGCAGTGTACTTCGTCGATTTGCCTGTTCTGCTCCCCACTCTGTCTCTGGTGAAGCCTCTCATTGCCCCTGAGCCTCTGGCCTGTACCCCAGTTCTGTATGAACAAATAACAGACACACGATGCAGAGAACGTTTCCTCTCACTTGGGGACCCACGCTGACAGCACTTAAATGATGTGCCCTTCTTCCCTTCTGAGGAGTCAACAAAACAAGGGCGTGGAGGGCTGGAGGGGGCTCCCCAGGGCGGCCCTCCTGGGGTCACCCGCCTTGCACAGACTCAGTGCTCCAGGCACTTCCCTCCCAGCCTGGCACAAGCAGGCCTTCTCTTCTCTCCCAACACTTCTTTCTGAAAGCTACGATTGCCAAACTGCTTCAGAATGCCCTGGAAGCCGCAGGTGGGACCCAAGACTATGCCTGTAGGGTAAGTGAAATCGCTCGGGCCCTGGATGTCACTGGCCTCTGTGGCTACTACCTGTGGCCTTGGTGGCGCTCAGGCCGGAAGCACCTGGGCATGTGGGTGTGGGCATGCATGAGTGGGCACCCGAGTCGCGTGGCCCCACCTAGAAGGGCGGCGGCACTCGGAGACAGAGGCCGGCCTCAGGCTACGGCTAGGAGAGGACGAGTGACCCCAGAGGCGAGGCCCCGGGCCAGGGAGAGCCAGGAGGGCTTTGACAGGAGGGCTCGGGAGGGTGCTCTCGGGGGGAACCTGGACACAGCTGGAGTTGGGGAGCCTGACCCTGGATGGGCCGGGGTGTCCCTTCCACGGGACAGACGCCAGTGCCCCAAGTCAGCGCAGACACCCAGAAGTCCGAGGCAAGCACGGGAGGACCTCCAGTCCTGGGTTTCTTTTCCTTCTGGGAAGCGACTTTCTTACACAAACAGCAGAGCCCAGACCCGTTCTCACCCCTCTGAACCCACCAGTGTATCTGGTGGAGACCTCAGACATCTCGGTGAGCCAAGGAGAGCCAGGTCAGACGGCTGCCTGGGCCTGAAATTCCAGGGCCGTCAAGGTCAACAGCCACATGACTTTGTCCCCCTGGACAGAGGAGTGCTCATTTCGTGAGCATCCAGATTTTTCTTTGCATTATCTTAGTGGAACTCTCGAAACTACGTGGAGCAGCTGTGCCAACGTCAGGTGTTAGAAACCTCCAAGTCCTTCACGAAGTTTCCACCTTGCAAGGAGAGCTGGTCCTGCTTCGGGGGGTGGGGTGAATTACACCCCATTTGTGACTCGCTTTTAAAGCAGAACAGAAACCTTCAGAGCAAGTGCCCAGAACAAACTGAACTGAAGGGGGGCCCTCAGAACTGTTGGGGTGTCGGGTGGCACCTGCCACATTTTATTTGACCCAAACTTGTCCTTTAGGATGTCAAATCTTAGGGAACTTCAGACTTCTCTTTGAAGAGCCCATTTCACTGAGGATTAGTGTGTCCTTTAAAGCCAAGTGGTCCCAAGCTTCCTGGCTGGGCGCGCTCATCAGCTTGGATTGCTCCAAAGATCTGTCTCCTCAGGTGACGTCTGCAGCCTTTTCCCTGCTGCCTCGGCTGCCTGTCCTGTGCCCAAAGCCAGCTCCGCCCTTGCAAGCTGGGCGCTCCACTGCTTCTTCCTCTTCCTCTCCACAGGCGAGGTTCCCCTCCACGCTGCTGTCACCGCTGTCTCTGTCCAGCCAGCCAACAGCCAGCTGTGCCCAGGTGCCTCTGAGCAGATCCACCCCCGACTGCCCCGCCACCCCCCGGCTCAGGGGGGTCCTAACCAGCAGCAGCAGCAACACCTGGGAGCCTGCTGGAAATTCCAGGGAACTCAGGCTGGCCAAGCCCAGACCCTCGCTCTAGGATAACTTTCAAAGGTCTCGGGGTGGTGCCTGCTGCCGCATGGTGAAACCCCACACCTGTCAGTTCATCTCCCATCCCCATCGCAGCTGAGGGCCCCTTAGTGCAGGGAGACCTGGTTCCTGAGGCTCTGCCCGCACCGCCACCCCTCAGGGCCGGAGGCTGCTCCTTCAGCTCTAACAGCCCTCAAGGCCCTGCACCACCCTCCCTGCCTTGCCCTCAGCCACCCAAGGGGACCAGAGACTCAGCTTCCAAGACAGGCCTCCTTTGTGCTCGCCTCAGAGCCTAGACCCGACCCACAGCAGGGTGTGTGCTGGCCAGTTAGCCCAGTGCTGATGGACGGGCTGATTTACAACTAACTGGAAAGCCTGGGAAGGGCCTGGGGGGCAAGAGAAGGGCATGCCTGCCCTGCCCTCGTGAGCCAGGCTCTCCCAACCTGCTGCCAGGCTTTGCAGGCCCCAGGCTACTCACCCCTGAAGGCTGGAGCCAGAGGAAACTCACTTAGGGCCCCAGAGCCCCATTTCCTAAGGAGCAAGAGTGTGGCCATGCATCTGTGCCCGGGAGCAAGCCGGGGAGGTTAGAGACCCCCGGGGGCTCCCTCTGACCTACTGGCTGCAAAAACGCCTCCTGTTGCACACGCCCAGGGACAGGCAGCTGCAGCACTTCAGGGCTCAGAGCATCAGCTCCCGAATGCAGCCAGCCCATGACATCTTCAGTGCATCACTCTGGCTACACATTTTCCTTTTAAAAAATATTGCTAGTGAAACAGAGGTTCAAATGGGGAAATGTAATGGCATGCCCCAGGTAGGCAGTGAGGTGGGATCGTGTGCCCCTACCTGTCCTCGGGGGTGGGGGCGGGACATCCCTGAGGCCGGTGAAGCCCTTCCAGAGGAGGCAGCAGCCTCGGTCGCCAGGCCCAAGTTCCTCCCTGCCATTCCCATGTGGCTTGAGCTTCGCTTGCACTTTCCCCTGTAGGCTCAGTGGAAGCGAGCAGGTGTTTTCCACCCGTCTGCCGCTGGCAACAATGAGCGACACCTGTGGTCTCGCACGCGTGCCTGGCGGGCACCTGGAGTAGGTGGGGGCGTGTGAGTGGGGGCAGCTGATTGTGAGAAGGCGCAGACGCGGCAGCAGAGGAGAGGACAGAGGGCAGTGCAGGAGAGACCAGAGGCCAGGCCATGAGCAAAGCCAAGAGCCCAGAAAGACGAAAGACTGGGGGGGCTCCTAGCCCCCCCACCCCGGTCTCCTCGCTACAAATGGCAGAGAGAGATCGCTAAAAGCTGGAAACGCCGCCGAGGGCACCAGGACCCTCCTCCGCCGTGTGCCCGGGGAGCCTGGCAGAGCTGCCCGAGCCGGCCGGCGCCATGCCCTTCTGCGCACGCCCTCCTGTCCTCTCGTGCTGCCTTCCGCAGGTTCGGACACGCACCCCGCATTTCCCAGACACCTTCACGCTGCACGAGACACAGCCGTTCGTGACACGGACGGGTCCCTGGATGCGCTTTCCCCACCCCTGAATCAAGAGACTGATTATGACAGTGTAGTTTCCTCTACTCCCTTCCAGCCGTCTTCACACCACACAACCTTTGCCAAGACTCTTTCCAGCTCAGCTGTGCGCAGTCAAGTGATGCGATGTTAAAAAGTGGGCGGCTTTACAAGGTCAACCAGAAGCGCCTGATATCCCAGCAAAAGTGCCAGCAAGCCCCAAATGGCCCCATTCTCTCAGGAGTCACATATGTGCGCGTTGCCTCCCTGAGCGTCTCCTCAAGTCTCCCAGTCTCGGCCACCGCTCTTTGACTATCTGACCTCAGCCCCCTCTCGTCTAAGCTTGACCACACCGCTTCCCTGTCCAGACAGACGCAGAGTCCTTGCAAAAGCTCCCGGTGCACCGTGAAGGTAAGACACCCACCGAGTGCTAGAACAGTCACCTGTGCTAGCGACCCTGTCCTGCTGGAGGACCTGGAGACCAGACTGGCTTCCCAGCCTGCATCCCGAGCGCCTGGGCAACTGCGCTGCCCAATGCCTCACCGCACACCCTGGCAGAACCCGCCCCTCCACGCACCCCAGTCAGGCACTCAGCACAGAGTCTTCCAGGGGCTGGAAGGTCTCCCCTGAAGTTCCATCTCAAGCCCACGCCCACTCTGCCCAGTGACGCCTAGCCAGGTTCCAAGTCCTTCTGCTACCTGGCACTGTTCACCAGAAGCAGCTAATCTCAACTTACATGAATTCTTTGCGCGTGGAAAATACCTTCCTCAAAGCTCAGTGCTCTGACATTATATAGTTGCTATGAAATGATCGGGTTACAGGAACGCTTCCAAAAACCTGCATTATGTCTAAGGATTCTGTGAAATATAAATAAGATGAAGTAGCATAAACAAAAAACAATTACTAGTTGAGCCTCTGGGCTTTGAAGATCCAAAGTACAGCTTGCACAGCTTTCCAGGATAAGACAGAGGGAAGCCCCGAGCCCGCCCCTCCGCCCACTCTCAAACATGAGGGGAGCAACATGAGGCAAGTGGCCCACTCGTCACACCCTGAGAATAATGGAGTGAAGACCTGCGGTAATCACGCAGCTCCTTTAAGCAGACAGCAAACATGTGTGCAGGGAGCATGATTCCACAAGGAGCCAGGGGGGTGGGGGGACGGAGAGGGGCCAGGGAAGGGATGAAGCGATGCTCCCAGCTATTTCTGCTGAGCCGTTTTGGAGACATTAGTGGCAGCAAGATTTAATTGCTAGTCAAGAATGGAATAAAGTTTTATTGTACACAGCCACCTCCATCTGTTTATTTACTGTCTCTGGCTGCTTTTACCTCAGAAGGGCCGTTTCCTTTGCCCTACGAGCCTGAACTATTTGCTACTTGGTCCCTTACAGAAAACACGCTGGCCGATGCCTTGTGTGTGATTCCTAAGATGCAGGAGGCTTTGGAAAGGCCCCACCTGTGGCCACCAGCCTGCTCGGCCTTCCTCCTCCCCCAGGCCCGAAGCTGAGCCTGTAGACACATACGTCACGCGCACACAGGGTCCACAGCTCCACTTCGCAGCGCTTCCCCACGGTCAAAGTGACCAAAACATCACCCCCACCTGAACGGTGTCAAGCACATTGGAGAACCCAAGTCAAAGTGAGGTGGGTGCAAAGCAAGCTCGCCTAGCCGAAGCTCCTGCTTTCTTTTCTCTAAGCTTCCCAGGTCCACCTGAGAAGAGACCAAGAGGCCCCCTCCCGGTCACCCGGCTGCCCCATCCCTCCTGCCTTCAGCTGTCCTCTAGGGAGTGCTCTTAGGAAGACATGAGGCTGACGTGCAGCTCACTGAGAGGATGAAAGGGGCAGCCTGAACAGCAGGATTGTCTGCTCAAGCAGGAACTTAACCTCGCAAGTCTCAGAGGTCCACCCACAGCTGGCACAGGCTGAACTCAGCCTCTTGGCCGGGTTCCTTTATCTAAAGCACAGCGCCCTCACATGGTGTCAACAGGAAGGGCAGTCTGCCCCAAAAACCAGAGGACTGAGGGAACCCTGTCAGCTGCCATCTGTGAGAGCGCCCGGCACCTACTCTGCGGGGATTTTAAATCAATGCTCTCCAGATTTCCACCCTTGGCGCCTTCAGAGATAGCTCCTCGCTGGAAACTTTACACCAAGAAGTATAAACTCTGACCTCTACAGAAACTCACCAAACCGCAGCAAATGGGATTCAGATGTTTCCATGTACTGTACAGCGATGTGGCCTAGACTTTAAACACTTTGGCAAAAACAGGAAAAGTGATGCGGGCCTTTCAGACCCTCCCAGAACATGATACAGCCTTGACCCCGGTCCTGCAGTGATCTGAGCCTTCCTCGCTCCCACTTAAGCCTCCTCACCCGCAGCCCACATTCCCTGCCCTGTTCCACATTAGTTCCTCCCAAGCCCTCCATGGTCCATTTTCCTTACTTAACCAAAGTCAATTTTCCCAGCCAAGCAAAAGTTGCTCACATTCTGACCAGGACTCAGAAAGTCCTGCAAGGAAAATGGGTCAAGGCCAGTCCTAGGACATCAGCCCGAGTCCCGGATGATGGGAGAAACGGAGAAGTCTCAGCATTTGGACTTGCACCCCCAGGCATTCTGGCCTTGCTGCAGATTCTGGGTGACTTGCTACAAACACGTGGGTAGGGGCAAGAGAACTCTGGATGGTGGAATAAGGTAAGGTGGAGGTGGGGCAGCAGCATCTTGGGCCTGGGGAGGAGAGACCTGTAAAATATCACACACTTTCCCCAGGGGCCAGGCAACCCCACTATTTCAAGCTCTGAGCTGGCACCAGGCTTCACTGGGCACAGCCCATCTACAGCAGTGTGCACTCCGGGGGGCATGATGGAGAAGCTGAACAGTGTTGGGGCACCAGCCCAGGGGCCAAGTGTATGCTCAGGCAGGACAGGGGTGCAAAGACCCTTCCCAGGCCCTCGGGCAAGTATCACAGGTGCCTCAAGTGCAGGGGGCAGGGCAACATCAACCACAGCCGAGGGGCCTGGGGGCAGGGACAGCCTCACCTTTGCAAGGGCTGCCTGCGGGAAGGACTTACAAGGATACAACACCCTGCCTCAGCTGGTTCTCGCCTTTCAAGTAAGGAGGAGGCTAATGACCTGTCAGGGGACCCCTCCAGTCCTCCTTTTCCACGTAAAACTTAACAGCACCGAGGGGAGAATGCCAACCACCTTTCCCCATATCCAAGAATAAATGAGCGACACACACAGGTCCTCCCCAAGCCAGGTACCCACACACACCTGTGCAAAGGCAGTGTCGTCTGTGCACGTAGACAAAGTGCCCCTTTCTGGCCAGAGGGCTGACAGGATTAATCCCTGGACCTGGGTTCCCCTGAGGGCTTCGTTGGACCCCGCCATGCAACCCCAGATGGGGACTGGCCTGGTGCACAGTGGAGGCTCAAGATATGTATGTGATGGAAGGCACTGAACAACAGAGGCTTCCCCTGCCACCCGTTATGTTCACAAAGCCCGTGGAAGGAAGATCAAGGCTGGAAGAAGTGGGTTCTCAGACCTGAGGAGAGCATCCCTGCCAAGCGAACTTCTCCCCTGGAAGCCCCTCATGCCAGCCTCCCCCGGGGACCACCCCTGGAGCCGACCGACCCGGAGGGGGCGGGGCGGAGGCAGTACCAGGCCGCCGGCGGCGCCGCAAGCGCTGAGCGAGACCAGGGAGCCCGGGTGGCCCAGGACGCGGCCCGAGTAGAAGCACAGCTCCGCGGGGCGTCCGCGGCGCCGGGTCGCGCCTGCCTCCTCCACCTCGAAGCCGCGGGACAGGAAGCGCAGGTCGCGGCGCAGCTGCAGGTACAGGTCGCGCCCGAAGGCCGGCAGGTGCAGCAGCAGGGCGCGCTCGCCCGG